ATTTTTTTCAGAAATCTTGATTAATTAATCTAAATCTATTCTAGATATGACTCAACAATCATCATCTTCATTTTATTTCATTTTATTGTAATGAATTTATACTAATAAAATTTATTCACAGGTAATTAAAGTGTTGATTTTTGATAAACATTATATTTGAAATTGACTGTTGAAAATCAATTATTCCATGCACAGATGTTTATTTCATTTATATCCCTATGGATACATCATAATTTGAGATTGTGGAGAATCAAAAATATCATTAAACTACATCCATCAACTACTCATGACTAGTGTTCATCACACAACAATATATATAATTGGTGGTAATTTGATTAAGCAGAAAGAATTTCACAAATTTATTCTTTCTGCTTACTCTTTCAACCTTTGTTTTAGATACTCTTTCATAAATGCCAACTTCAATATTTTATGGCATCTCATCTTTGTTACTCCTGAACAAATTGAAAGAGAAAAGATGTAAAACTTGGCATTGTCATTATAAATAAATAAATAAATTATTATTATTTATTTAAAAATTTAAAAAATTTANACAGTCCACTTTTTCAATCAAATCGTCGATAATGACTGAAGGTCGCCCACTTCGTTCCTCATCGTGAATGTTTGTGCGGCCATTACTAAAGGTCCTAACCCATTTTCGTATCATTCCTTCACTCATAACGCTTTCACCATAAACTTCACTGATTTGGCGATGAATTTCAGCCACTTTCGAGCCTTTAGCACTGAAAAAATGAATAACGGCACGCACTTCGCAGTCGGCGGGATTCTCAATGAGCGGCGGCATTTCAATAACACACAAACAACAGTAAACACAATCGACTGGCTCCGTAATGGCGTTTGTGGCTTCCCAACAGATGTAGGTACACAGCGCGCATGCGCTAAGTGCCGACTGCAGCGCTCAAGCGGCGTTATATTAAAACGGTATTTACTTTAAAAACACGCCTCGTATATCAAAATTCAAGAAATGTCTAAACATCTTTAAATGATTCTATATAAAACATGTAATAAATTTATATACTAAATATCTTGGTACACTTAAAATTACATTACTAACCATGACCATTCTTTCAGTAAGATTCATTCTCATTGAAAAATACATAACTCTAAAAAACATCCAAAGAATGAATTATATACTTTTATATATTCCAAAATATAGTATTTCTATTTGAGATACATTGCAATCTTTTTTCTAACAAATATTCAATATGAAGATATAATATACACTGAAGGAATATGAAATCCCAACACCAAGAAAAAATTAGTTTAGAGGAATGAAATTCAGGCAAAGCATTTGTCTAGGTAAAATATTTACTTGTTTGAATTTTTAAGGTCACAGGCTAAAGTATGTGTGAGAAGATCCATTTCAAATGTGAAATAATGGTACATTAATAACCGCTGCAGTCACCACGATTTTGAATGCAAGCATGCAAATATGTATGCATTGTGTCGTACAGGTGCCATATGTCATTTTGTGGGATGGAGTTCCATGCCTGCTGCACTTGGCAGTCAAATTAGCAACAGTTAATGTTGGTTGTGGATAATGCTGAATTTGTTGTCCAATAATGTCCCATATGTGCTCAATGGGAGAAAGATCTGGTGATCTCACAGGCCAAGGCAACATGTCAACACTTTGTAGAGCACGTTGGGTAACAGCAGCAGTATGAGGACGATTATCATCCTGTTGGAAAAGCTCCTTGGATATTGCTCACAGATGGCAGTACAACTAGTTCAATCACCAGTCTGACGTACTGATTTGCTGTCAATGTGCTTGGTATAATGATGAGAGTGATCCTGTTGTCATAGGAAATCACCCCCCCCAGACCATAACTCCTGGTGTAGGTCTAGTGTGTCTATGCCACAGACAGCTTGGTTTCAAGTGCTCACCTGGCCTCCTTTAACCAACATACTGCCATCACTGGCACCAAGACAGAAACAGCTCTCATCTGAGAACACAACAGATCTTTCTCCACCCTCCAATGAGCTCTTGCTTGACACCACTGAAGTCGCAGATGGCAGTGATTTGGAGTTAGTGGAATGAACACCACAGGGCATCTGGCTCGGAGTTGTCCCTCAAGTAATCAATTTGTTACAGTTTGCTGGGTCACTCTGGCACTAACAGAAGCTCTAATTTCTGATGCAGATGCAGTACAATATGCCACAGCCATATGCCGAATATGGCGGTCTTCCCTCTCAGTAATGGCCCGTGTGTGGCCGGACCCAGGTCTTCTTGAGACAGCACCTTCCTGTGACCACAGCTGCCAACAATCATGCACAGTAGATACATCCTTGCCAAATCTTTCTGCAACAGTGCGGAAAGAATAATCCACCTTCTCGTAGCCGTATTACACGGCCTTGTTTAAACTCAGTAAGCTGCTGATACTGCCTTCTTCGTCTCCTTAAAGGCATTCTTGACTCAAACCTTAACTCACAACATTCAATCTGAACAATAAATAATGCTCAACAAGTTTACATCCAGTATTTACAGCAAACGTGATTTGCATGTTCATAGTGGCACTACTCGTGCCACTCTTATTCATCTAGCACGAAATTTGAATAGACATCATCTTTCAGATATGAAAACACACCTACCAAGTTTTGTTTATCGAGCACAACTCTTTCTTGGTTTTGGGATTTCATTTTCCACCAATGTATATAAATTCCTATAATAATATTTCAATATAAACTTAATAATATTAAATGAATATTTACACTGAAAGATGTATTGTAGAATATAAATATATGATTTATAAAACTTAAAAATCTGCTATTTTTTGAACTTATTTCTTTCATCAAGAAGCCATACATTTGTTTATTTGTTGGGCGAGTGTGGCTGTTTGACAAAAGGAGGTTTAAAAAGCAGCAGATAAAAAAGAAAAGTGAGTGAAAAAAAAAACTTAAAAAAATATTAAAAATCTGCTTTATCAATTTTAAAGATTGAAGTTTAATTCATTATTTATATTATCTACATTTCAATACAAAAACAACAGTTGTATAAATGTAAAAAATATGAATTCAAAACAGTGAAATGATCAATCCTCATAACAATAAAAATTCTATTGTCATCAATTAATTCCTATTTAATTTGTTTTCATTTTAATTTAATCATCATACTGTTATTGCTTTTTAAATTTCACAAATAAAATATTTTAATGATTTCTTTTCACAAAACTCAATAAATTTGCACAGTAAAGTAAAACTTAAATATCATTACAAAATTTAAAAAATGTTCTATTATAGTATATTCTTAAGTAAAAAGTTGATACTTTCAATATTAGTTATGTTAAATAAATTCAAAGTATAGAAACCGATATGTAGTTTAAAACTGTTAATAGTAAATCAAATGCATTTTCCTTCTAAAAAAAAAAACAAAAAGTAACAAATATATATTCAACTATGTCCAAAAAGTATTTTCATGAGCTTAATGACATTTTTAAATTATATGAATTTTTTGGAATAACTTAAAGAGAGTTTTCTTTTGTTGTCAACACTTAAATTATTACTACTTCCTAAACCAGTGTACATTAAGTTTAAATATTTTAACTATTTTAAAATGCTTTGTTCTATTCTGTTATGTTTTTCAACATAACTTTAGTGATGACATAATTAAATTCAACAAAAGCATTGATGGACAAAGAAAATTTAAATGCAATAAAATTTGTATAAAACAGAATTGCATAGTACCAAATTTTCTTTTCTATTTTGGCAGTTTTTCTATCTTGAATAGGTTTTAGTACTTTTCCTTTTAGGAAAAAAAAATAGTAAAAAAATTTTATTACTTGGATTTAACCCAAATTAATTCAAAATGGTCCAATTTATGATTGTTCCTGAGAACTTGTGCTAGTTATTTGAATACTTCTTGAATATGATACTTATGAGCTCACATGACAACAAACAAGCCAATCTAAATACCAAGAACAACTGTCTCAGCTTGTCACTAAAAATTCTAATTGTATTACAGTAATATAAAAATTACATTATTCTGACTTCTTGAGGAAATTTAATACTCTAGTTAATTATTTACTTCAATTCCTGAAATTGCCAACAATGTTAATCAACTTGTTCTCAAATAATCAATTCTAGTTAGTTTCTAATGATTATACAAGGCAAATTGCAGAACTATATTACCTCATTCTCATTGTTTTCAAGAAATTTCTTGAAAACTTTTTTGATTCTTGAAAGTTTCCAATTCTTAAAAGTATTCAATTCTGTCCCTGGTTAATTCCAATATGTCTTCTTATCACATATCCTTCATTTCTCTAGAAAGGTTTGAAACCATTCTTGGAATATAGTTTGTCATGCTCTGCAATAACCATTATACCTGAAGACGATTTTACTTATTTATCTATAAGTGGAATTGCAATTTTCTGCTTTATTCAGATTAAATTATGTTCTTCCTACCTAAAAACTACTTGTTTCCAAGTAAGACAGATTTCCAGTTTATAGTAAAATTTAACAGAAAATTGCTTCGTTCTGAAGATTTTTTTCTGTTTAGACAGGTTTCCATTTTATTCAGGTTTTACTATATTGTTTAAATATTAAAATTGTATATTCAAACAAAAATGGTATTATATGTAAATATTTATTTGTTTTTTACATATTTGGATTACTTACAACTGAATCTATTTCATTATAGTTTTATTTAATGTAAGAGAAAAGAGGTACAAAATATATAATAATTTTGGATCTTCCTCTTCTACTAGAACCACTTTATTTATGAGTTAGCAATGTGGAATAGATTTTTCTTTCTATTCATCTATTCTGCATTGTATAATAATTTTGTGGTATCAGGCAGAATGATTCAGTTTTTTTTCATAATTTTAATAAAAATATAAGTTACATATGTATAATATAAAAATATAGTTTACATTATTATTTTTTAGTGTATTTTTATTAAAAAAATATAATTTCAAAACAAAATATAAACTAAAAAATAATAATGTAAACTATTTATATAATTTTAAACTAATTAGAAATCAATATACCTATGTTTTTATCAGTTTCTAGGAGAACTTCCAAGACTGGTACAACATCAAAATAAACAGCATAATGGAGAGCAGTCATATCAGTCCATCTACACTTCAGCCGTGTATCTGCTCCTTTATCTAACATCATCTTAACTGTTTCTGTTGCCATGTAAGCATCACCAACACCAATTGCTCCAGCTTTACAAGCATATTGCAAGATTGTCATGTCAGTTAAGCCATCTCTATCATCCACATGAGCACCACGTTTTAATATCTGTACAATAACAACAATTAGTAAATTGTAAAAAATGATTAAATTACTTATACTTTGTATTACTACTTGGAAAAAAAATAATCTAAAATATTTCATTACAAATTAATTGAAATTATAAAATTTCTACAATACTTACCTAATTTTTTAAAAATTTTACTAGCAAAAAGATATTCTAAAATTATTTTTTATTCAAGAGAAACAAATATATATACCTCATTTACAAGAACTTGAATATTTTGTTGGGTTTGTGGCATCCATTGTCGAATTATGGCAAATATCTGACTTATTGAAGTGTTCTGATTTTTAAGGATTTCCATACATCCTGGGCAACTAGGATCAAAAAAAGGCAATTCTAATTGTTCACAACTTGAACATAATGGAGCATCAGAAGTGGGATGAATGATTGGATAAGTCCTCTTTTCCTTTATGTTACAAATGGAATTGTCTTTTTCTCGATGTTTATTTAATGAAACAGTCATGATCTACAATTTTTAAAAAATTTGAAAAAATTAATAAATTATTAATGTTAAATATGAGTTATACAGAGCATTGAACAATTTATTAATTCTCATTTTTTCAATCTTCTGAACTTTTAAAAGTTTAAAAGCACATTCTAACCAATACCTATAAACTGAAATAAATATCAATTAACTAGTTAAGTATTTTATTTACGTAAAGAAAAATAAAAATAAACACTTGAATTAATCTAAAAAAATTGTTTATTATATTTCAACAGAAATTTTAGTGAAAAGTTAATCAAATTTTATTACAAAAATATAAAAATTTCAGCAAGAACTGTAAGAAAAACTATAAATGTAGTATAATTTCAAATAAGTTGTTAATGTAATTCTTAAATATCATCAATCAAAATCAAAAATTTAGTCTTTTTCTTGATAAAAAAAAAGTTCAAATAATTATAATTAAATTTAACTTTTTACCACTACTTTTTCAGTGTTTCTTCTATTTTTATGAACTTTATAATTAAAGTTCATAAAAATAGAAGAAACACTGAAAAAACAGTGGTAAAAGGAGGGGTAAAAAGTGTTCTCTAGTCTTTTTCAAGTCTCAGGAATATAACAAAGTCATCTTATATAATTTTATCAATATATTTTCATTGAGTCTTGCTAAAAGAAAATTTTTTCAACAAGTTTTTGCATATTTAGGTAGACAAAAGTCTCAAGTTAAAGGTCCACTCTGCCAAAAGACTTGTATTCCTAAAGGTGTGAAAAAGGCAAAGTGAAAGACACTTAACTAATGGGTCCATCAGTGGCCAAGTGGTCTTCGTTCCCTGAACTCTGGAAGTTCGGTTGTGGATTTGTGCCTTGCTTGGATGGGCTGGCCACATTGAGTTTTCTGGTTTTCTCCACATCTGTAACATCTAAATAGGGACCAGTTTCCCTTAAAAAGACCTCCTGGGAGGCATTCCCCCTAGGCAGATAACTCAAGTGTTGCATTGCCATATGTGAACCGCCAGGGAGGGTGTAGGTCTCCCGATCCGGCAACAGGTTGATGAACCTTCTCACTGGTCAGGATGGATTAAAATTTTACTTTTCCCGCGGTAATGGGATTAAATGTTTCGGGTCGAGTGGCGGAGGGAGGAGTGCGTCGGTAAGATGACCGGCGATATACGAGTAAAGATGACACCACTTTAACAGGATAACAACGATTTATTAGCTACATAGAGATTACAATAACCAATTTCAAAAGGGAAAATCTGAGTCCCTGAAACGCGAAGAACCGAGAGAGAGTTCACAAAAATAAGTTCCATACCTCTTTATGTCTTTTAATATTCTTAAGGAAAAAGGTTTTGATATCCAACGGGTTGGTAGGATTAGGATAATAATTTTTCTTCAGGACACAATATCGTATAGGACACAGTATATTAATAGGACACAATATTCTTAGGACACAGTTGTAAAAGTGACGGCGAATGAACGACTCCCCCGAGAAGGGGAAGGAAGGGGTTTTTATAAGTTCGGCGTGGGAGAATGGTCATGTGACCAATTGTTGTGAGGTAAAAGGTATGCAGATGGGTCAGAGTTGTTCCCGGGCCCATGTTAACTATAAACTTTAGCGTTGGAATGTGGGATTAGTTTCGAATTGAACGGATGTTTATGTCGAACATAAACGAAAAGTTTTTTTTTCCCGTTAGGTTCCACTTTAAGTTAAAGGAAAATTTAATTAGATTTTAAGCAAATACAGGACAATTGATCGACAAATAGTCGACAAAAATTCCGGATTTCACACATAACTAAACAAACAAACAAACTTAACTAATGATGAGATAATTAATCAGGATGGGAAAAATCAGGTATTTTCCGGCAATCAGAATCAAGCAATCTTGTCATTATTCCGATCTTTAAAATGATTTTTCCACATTTAATAAGAAAATTAATTATTTGTTTCAGTTGAAGATTAATTTTTTTTAATTACAATATTAACAATTAAGTATTAGTTTATTGGAAATTTTTATGTTGACATAGAGAATACTCAATATCCAATACTGATGTGATGTTTGTCATGGAGGACTTCTTTCTTTTGTATAGTCCTGTGATGAGAGATTGGTTAATACTAACTGTCCCCATTTTAGGGGAGATAGGGTGATATGATAGAATAGTTCTTTGAGTATAAACTTTAACTTTTTCTGTTCTTAAATACTGAAATTCATCAAAAAAATGAAAATTTAAAATATAAGTTAAGAAAAAACATTAAGAAAGTTTTATAATACAGAAAAGTATTTAATTTTCTATTATGATTTTTATGTTAAATAAAATATTTTTTTCAGAAATCTTGATTAATTAATCTAAATCTATTCTAGATATGACTCAACAATCATCATCTTCATTTTATTTCATTTTATTGTAATGAATTTATACTAATAAAATTTATTCACAGGTAATTAAAGTGTTGATTTTTGATAAACATTATATTTGAAATTGACTGTTGAAAATCAATTATTCCATGCACAGATGTTTATTTCATTTATATCCCTATGGATACATCATAATTTGAGATTGTGGAGAATCAAAAATATCATTAAACTACATCCATCAACTACTCATGACTAGTGTTCATCACACAACAATATATATAATTGGTGGTAATTTGATTAAGCAGAAAGAATTTCACAAATTTATTCTTTCTGCTTACTCTTTCAACCTTTGTTTTAGATACTCTTTCATAAATGCCAACTTCAATATTTTATGGCATCTCATCTTTGTTACTCCTGAACAAATTGAAAGAGAAAAGATGTAAAACTTGGCATTGTCATTATAAATAAATAAATAAATTATTATTATTTATTTAAAAATTTAAAAAATTTAATGATACAAATAATTTTTGACTATATTTAGATCATCTCTAAACATTCGTGTAAAACTGTTCAGAATGACATTTAGAATGTAAACATAGAAATTATATGCAAATATAGAACAAATAATGCTTTAAATTCTATATATTTTAAAAAAAATATTCTAAATACAAATTTTAAATATGAAAATTTGTTTTCTGTAAAATTTTTAACTGGTTGTTACATAACGATGTTCTAAATGAGATTATATTTTTTAAAAATATGCTTATGTCATAATTTATTATCTTTCATAGAATATTTGCTTGGAAACATCTTTTGTGAAGTGAAAAATCATTATGATTTTAAATCTTCTATTTTTAAAATATTTCCTTTCATTTCAATTTAATAGTAAACAATAGCAAGTCCAACCATTTCTATCAGAAATTCTTCTATATTTCAGTTTGATTTTTCTTAATTTCATTTAACAGTTTCACTATTATTTACAAATATTTGCTTTTCTTAATGTGTTCTGCTGTCCTTTGTTATTTTCATTCATTATCTTGCCTAACAGTTCAAAAAAATATAATTGTAGTAACATTCTATTATTAAATTTCCTGAACTGAGAAAGCTAAGAAGTGATCTTATTTATTTAAATTAAATAAGATCACTTCTCTTTCAGTCACTTTGATAAATGTTAGAGCAATCTCAGTCAGCTCTCCAGTGAATGGTGAACTAGTCAGCAGCATGCTGATTGGTTTGCCATTTTTCTAGTTTTAAAATATTCAATTTGTTAAGTTTTAATTTAGTACAGAATGAAGAATGAAGTTAGTAAAGAGGTGTTTATGTAGCAGAAATCTTATGATGAAAAATTATTATTATGAAAGAATATAGAAAAAGAACAAAGTGGAAGTGAAGACAAGAATTACAAAGAATTAAAATAAAATAAAGTTGATGTATAGAAACAAACAAATACAAAAAGCTTTGACAGAGACAGATGTGCAGTACAATATACAGATTAATAAGAAAAAATAAAAATTAGTTTACACTTTTGATGCTGATTCATACCTACTGAGAGGTGAAAAAGAAAAATTAACAACTATAAAAAATAACAGTAATCCACAGATAAATTCAGCTGCTTTGATAGTGCAAAAATTGATTGGATGTCTGCTGTAAGAAATTAGTTAAATCAGTTGCAAATTTGTTCATAATGAAGACTGACAAAAATTTCTTAAACTACAACAATAATTTTTCTCTATTTACTAAAAAATAAGTTTTTGTAAGAAACTATTCCAACTTGAGTGTTCTTTACTTTATTTTTTTCATAGCTTAAAGCAATTGCTAATTACAAGAAATAAATATAATTCTATATACATTTATCTTGACATATATATAAATATCCCAAAGCCCGATATTATAGTAATATGCCAAACAAAAAACATTTTGACTTAAACTTATTCAACAGACATGATTAATTGGCACATCAGTGCACTAAGACTATTAAAACTACCAAACTTGTAAAGCAACATTAAGATGAAGCAGTATAAACAATAAAAAAAAAACACAGAATGGTCAAAATGATACAAAATATGAAAATTAGAATAGTAGAAAATGAATGCTGATAACAATAATTAGAAATATCTAACAAATGACAGATTTTTGTTAGTGAAAATAATGTTTCATTTAGTATCCAAGTAATTAGAATTTTTTTGTGTTTGTCTATTCTTTCTAAAATTTCATTAATTTAATTTTACTAGTATATTAGAATATTGCATAATTTAGAATATAAATAATGCTCAACAAGTTTACATCCAGTATTTACAGCAAACGTGATTTGCATGTTCATAGTGGCACTACTCGTGCCACTCTTATTCATCTAGCACGAAATTTGAATAGACATCATCTTTCAGATATGAAAACACACCTACCAAGTTTTGTTTATCGAGCACAACTCTTTCTTGGTTTTGGGATTTCATTTTCCACCAATGTATATAAATTCCTATAATAATATTTCAATATAAACTTAATAATATTAAATGAATATTTACACTGAAAGATGTATTGTAGAATATAAATATATGATTTATAAAACTTAAAAATCTGCTATTTTTTGAACTTATTTCTTTCATCAAGAAGCCATACATTTGTTTATTTGTTGGGCGAGTGTGGCTGTTTGACNATATAGATATATATTAAACATTATTGTCCGTAACTTAAAGCTAATGTATATTTATACTTTTACAGTAACTTCTGTAACATCAAACATATGAGAGATATTAAAAATCCATGGTAAATATAATTTCCAAGAATGCTGAATCTTATAATGTTGACAATAATAATAGTAATTCTCCTTTTACAAATACATAAACTTATTATTATTTTACTAAAAATAAAAATCATCTTGGAAAGCTTTAAAAAAACTTGGCAAACTTAATAATAAACTAACATATTAATTAAGTTTATGCACACATACTTGTGTATATGTATATACACGAGTGTATGTGTGTGTGCACATGAACTTAATTAATATATATATTAAATTTGCATTGTATTCACTAATAAATATAAACAATGTAAAGATATTAGCAGATCATAAGTGGATCATACACAGTATATTAAATATGCATCAAAAACATATACAATCTATTATTCAACATATAAAGTTGAATAAAAGACCAAATTGTTTTCATGAACTGAATAAAAAAATAAGCTTCAATTTAATAAAACAGGCACAATTAAAACGTTCAATTGTTTTAAAAGCTATTACATTAAATATTATAATATTAATATATTAAAATCCTAATATTTTACATCCCAAATAAAGATATGATATAATACCTGTCTTTCAAAATTTGTCAGATAAAAATAAATTCTAAACATTCAAAGCAAATTTTAAATCTAATAATTCAGTTCTAAAATAAACACTAGTATTTTAATGCTTATAGTAAAAAAGACACTTGTTATCATTTCCTAATAATGTTTAGACCTAAATTACCTATTTCATACAATAACTTAACTATACAATTCATACACAGATCAACATTTTCAAAAACAATTTTCACAACAAATGCAATTTAATTTCAAAAATTTTAACCTGTATATAAATCTTACAATGATTAAAAGAGCTTTTTGTTCATGCTTATTATATTTTTAGCCAATTCTGCAATGAGGTAAACAATGGTGAAGAATGAAGCTTGCTATATCCCAAATGATCTGGCTTGGAAAAGCTAGACCATTCACAAAACTTTCAGGATCAGATCTAGTTTTGAACCTATAACTATCACAGTAAGCAAGTATATGTGTAATTGTTTCAGTTTCCTAAACATAAAACAGCAATATTTAGTAACAAATATAAATTCAAAATTACTCTCTCTCTTTTAATTTTATTATAAAGTTAGAAAAGAAAATACTTTATAAATATTTTCTATAAAGGCATTTCATTTCAGATTATCAGCTGCCTTAATATATAAAAAATTCAAAAATACATTCCTGGATTTGATATTTCTTCTATAATATTTCCATTTGTAATATATAAATATAAATCAATTGAGATTTTAGAAATATTTCTAGAACTTTGAGTTTTTGTCTATTTTTTAGTTTTTTTTATCTTTTTTTTTTATTAACAAATTTAATCTTAGAAAATTTAATTACAGTAAAATATTAATATTTTTAAATAATTTTTTTCATTTCATGTTTAAAAATCTAAATAATCTGAAAATTCAGTAAATTACTGAAACTTTTTACAAATTTTATTTAGCAACAAATGATATCACAGAATTGGAAGATTACCAATTATTGTGTAGGAAAAATTGAAATTTTAATTAAAAATTAATAAGTATAGCAAAGCCATAGCAAAATTTGAAACCATGGCTAGTAAACAAGAACTCTAACTTTGCTTTGCTTTTTCATTATTTGTAACTCATATATGACATTTGAAATTGATCCAACTCATCTGGAAGACAATTACAAGTATATTAGATAAGACTTGTCATATGTAATCAATATTATTTTTCTAAAACATTTGCTTCATTAAACAGTTATATAACTATTATTTATTAATTAGATTATTAAATATATTACATATTTAAATATTTAGATTGAGGTTTATCTTATATTACAAGATGATAATTTTTCAAATTAAATGGTCTTTGGATCCAAGCAATTATTAAAAACTATAGCTTTATATGTAACTATAAAAAAATATTAGTAATAAAATTAAGTTAAATGATAAATAATTTTGAATTTGTAATATTCTTATTTTAATCTGGTAATGTAATTTTATTATTAAATTAGTGTATCTCAAAGTCATATAGATTCAATGATACAATCAGTAGCATAACTGGAAGAGGGTGTGAATTAGAACATGAAAACCTAGATACATTCACCCTTTACCATTATAACTATAGACACTAGTAGTGTGGATGTAAATGTATGTTTTTGTCACATTTGAATATATTTCCTGTACTTATTGTATTCTTTGTTAATTTATTTACAAACCAGGTCCAGGGGATTTAACAAAAGCATCACCATTTCATTAAAGTTTTTAAATGAAATACTTTATAATAGTTAAACATTAATTCATTAATGTATGGTACATTATGAAGCAGATAAATTAAAAATTTCTTATAAAATTTTAGCATATTCTATTTTTAGTAACACTTCCAAGACCATTANATATAAATTCCTATAATAATATTTCAATATAAACTTAATAATATTAAATGAATATTTACACTGAAAGATGTATTGTAGAATATAAATATATGATTTATAAAACTTAAAAATCTGCTATTTTTTGAACTTATTTCTTTCATCAAGAAGCCATACATTTGTTTATTTGTTGGGCGAGTGTGGCTGTTTGACAAAAGGAGGTTTAAAAAGCAGCAGATAAAAAAGAAAAGTGAGTGAAAAAAAAAACTTAAAAAAATATTAAAAATCTGCTTTATCAATTTTAAAGATTGAAGTTTAATTCATTATTTATATTATCTACATTTCAATACAAAAACAACAGTTGTATAAATGTAAAAAATATGAATTCAAAACAGTGAAATGATCAATCCTCATAACAATAAAAATTCTATTGTCATCAATTAATTCCTATTTAATTTGTTTTCATTTTAATTTAATCATCATACTGTTATTGCTTTTTAAATTTCACAAATAAAATATTTTAATGATTTCTTTTCACAAAACTCAATAAATTTGCACAGTAAAGTAAAACTTAAATATCATTACAAAATTTAAAAAATGTTCTATTATAGTATATTCTTAAGTAAAAAGTTGATACTTTCAATATTAGTTATGTTAAATAAATTCAAAGTATAGAAACCGATATGTAGTTTAAAACTGTTAATAGTAAATCAAATGCATTTTCCTTCTAAAAAAAAAAACAAAAAGTAACAAATATATATTCAACTATGTCCAAAAAGTATTTTCATGAGCTTAATGACATTTTTAAATTATATGAATTTTTTGGAATAACTTAAAGAGAGTTTTCTTTTGTTGTCAACACTTAAATTATTACTACTTCCTAAACCAGTGTACATTAAGTTTAAATATTTTAACTATTTTAAAATGCTTTGTTCTATTCTGTTATGTTTTTCAACATAACTTTAGTGATGACATAATTAAATTCAACAAAAGCATTGATGGACAAAGAAAATTTAAATGCAATAAAATTTGTATAAAACAGAATTGCATAGTACCAAATTTTCTTTTCTATTTTGGCAGTTTTTCTATCTTGAATAGGTTTTAGTACTTTTCCTTTTAGGAAAAAAAAATAGTAAAAAAATTTTATTACTTGGATTTAACCCAAATTAATTCAAAATGGTCCAATTTATGATTGTTCCTGAGAACTTGTGCTAGTTATTTGAATACTTCTTGAATATGATACTTATGAGCTCACATGACAACAAACAAGCCAATCTAAATACCAAGAACAACTGTCTCAGCTTGTCACTAAAAATTCTAATTGTATTACAGTAATATAAAAATTACATTATTCTGACTTCTTGAGGAAATTTAATACTCTAGTTAATTATTTACTTCAATTCCTGAAATTGCCAACAATGTTAATCAACTTGTTCTCAAATAATCAATTCTAGTTAGTTTCTAATGATTATACAAGGCAAATTGCAGAACTATATTACCTCATTCTCATTGTTTTCAAGAAATTTCTTGAAAACTTTTTTGATTCTTGAAAGTTTCCAATTCTTAAAAGTATTCAATTCTGTCCCTGGTTAATTCCAATATGTCTTCTTATCACATATCCTTCATTTCTCTAGAAAGGTTTGAAACCATTCTTGGAATATAGTTTGTCATGCTCTGCAATAACCATTATACCTGAAGACGATTTTACTTATTTATCTATAAGTGGAATTGCAATTTTCTGCTTTATTCAGATTAAATTATGTTCTTCCTACCTAAAAACTACTTGTTTCCAAGTAAGACAGATTTCCAGTTTATAGTAAAATTTAACAGAAAATTGCTTCGTTCTGAAGATTTTTTTCTGTTTAGACAGGTTTCCATTTTATTCAGGTTTTACTATATTGTTTAAATATTAAAATTGTATATTCAAACAAAAATGGTATTATATGTAAATATTTATTTGTTTTTTACATATTTGGATTACTTACAACTGAATCTATTTCATTATAGTTTTATTTAATGTAAGAGAAAAGAGGTACAAAATATATAATAATTTTGGATCTTCCTCTTCTACTAGAACCACTTTATTTATGAGTTAGCAATGTGGAATAGATTTTTCTTTCTATTCATCTATTCTGCATTGTATAATAATTTTGTGGTATCAGGCAGAATGATTCAGTTTTTTTTCATAATTTTAATAAAAATATAAGTTACATATGTATAATATAAAAATATAGTTTACATTATTATTTTTTAGTGTATTTTTATTAAAAAAATATAATTTCAAAACAAAATATAAACTAAAAAATAATAATGTAAACTATTTATATAATTTTAAACTAATTAGAAATCAATATACCTATGTTTTTATCAGTTTCTAGGAGAACTTCCAAGACTGGTACAACATCAAAATAAACAGCATAATGGAGAGCAGTCATATCAGTCCATCTACACTTCAGCCGTGTATCTGCTCCTTTATCTAACATCATCTTAACTGTTTCTGTTGCCATGTAAGCATCACCAACACCAATTGCTCCAGCTTTACAAGCATATTGCAAGATTGTCATGTCAGTTAAGCCATCTCTATCATCCACATGAGCACCACGTTTTAATATCTGTACAATAACAACAATTAGTAAATTGTAAAAAATGATTAAATTACTTATACTTTGTATTACTACTTGGAAAAAAAATAATCTAAAATATTTCATTACAAATTAATTGAAATTATAAAATTTCTACAATACTTACCTAATTTTTTAAAAATTTTACTAGCAAAAAGATATTCTAAAATTATTTTTTATTCAAGAGAAACAAATATATATACCTCATTTACAAGAACTTGAATATTTTGTTGGGTTTGTGGCATCCATTGTCGAATTATGGCAAATATCTGACTTATTGAAGTGTTCTGATTTTTAAGGATTTCCATACATCCTGGGCAACTAGGATCAAAAAAAGGCAATTCTAATTGTTCACAACTTGAACATAATGGAGCATCAGAAGTGGGATGAATGATTGGATAAGTCCTCTTTTCCTTTATGTTACAAATGGAATTGTCTTTTTCTCGATGTTTATTTAATGAAACAGTCATGATCTACAATTTTTAAAAAATTTGAAAAAATTAATAAATTATTAATGTTAAATATGAGTTATACAGAGCATTGAACAATTTATTAATTCTCATTTTTTCAATCTTCTGAACTTTTAAAAGTTTAAAAGCACATTCTAACCAATACCTATAAACTGAAATAAATATCAATTAACTAGTTAAGTATTTTATTTACGTAAAGAAAAATAAAAATAAACACTTGAATTAATCTAAAAAAATTGTTTATTATATTTCAACAGAAATTTTAGTGAAAAGTTAATCAAATTTTATTACAAAAATATAAAAATTTCAGCAAGAACTGTAAGAAAAACTATAAATGTAGTATAATTTCAAATAAGTTGTTAATGTAATTCTTAAATATCATCAATCAAAATCAAAAATTTAGTCTTTTTCTTGATAAAAAAAAAGTTCAAATAATTATAATTAAATTTAACTTTTTACCACTACTTTTTCAGTGTTTCTTCTATTTTTATGAACTTTATAATTAAAGTTCATAAAAATAGAAGAAACACTGAAAAAACAGTGGTAAAAGGAGGGGTAAAAAGTGTTCTCTAGTCTTTTTCAAGTCTCAGGAATATAACAAAGTCATCTTATATAATTTTATCAATATATTTTCATTGAGTCTTGCTAAAAGAAAATTTTTTCAACAAGTTTTTGCATATTTAGGTAGACAAAAGTCTCAAGTTAAAGGTCCACTCTGCCAAAAGACTTGTATTCCTAAAGGTGTGAAAAAGGCAAAGTGAAAGACACTTAACTAATGGGTCCATCAGTGGCCAAGTGGTCTTCGTTCCCTGAACTCTGGAAGTTCGGTTGTGGATTTGTGCCTTGCTTGGATGGGCTGGCCACATTGAGTTTTCTGGTTTTCTCCACATCTGTAACATCTAAATAGGGACCAGTTTCCCTTAAAAAGACCTCCTGGGAGGCATTCCCCCTAGGCAGATAACTCAAGTGTTGCATTGCCATATGTGAACCGCCAGGGAGGGTGTAGGTCTCCCGATCCGGCAACAGGTTGATGAACCTTCTCACTGGTCAGGATGGATTAAAATTTTACTTTTCCCGCGGTAATGGGATTAAATGTTTCGGGTCGAGTGGCGGAGGGAGGAGTGCGTCGGTAAGATGACCGGCGATATACGAGTAAAGATGACACCACTTTAACAGGATAACAACGATTTATTAGCTACATAGAGATTACAATAACCAATTTCAAAAGGGAAAATCTGAGTCCCTGAAACGCGAAGAACCGAGAGAGAGTTCACAAAAATAAGTTCCATACCTCTTTATGTCTTTTAATATTCTTAAGGAAAAAGGTTTTGATATCCAACGGGTTGGTAGGATTAGGATAATAATTTTTCTTCAGGACACAATATCGTATAGGACACAGTATATTANAAGATATTTATCTTAATTATGAAAATATAGTAGCATATTTTTTAATTTTTGGAACCTAACTCTCCTTTTCATACTAGTTCTTTGATTTGCATAACACGGATTCGCAAAACACGGCAATTTTTTGGAACATAACTACCGTATTATACGGGGGTTACCTGTATATAATACTAAAATAAAAAAAAAAGTAATCTAGTTTTAAAAACCATATGTAACAATTATAATTTTGAAAAAATACACACTATATTATAAGGTTGGGCAGGGTAGTTGAGAGGGCCTCTGGTAATATACAGGCCCCTTTTGCTTTTATTTTTTTGAACAAATGAAATACATTGAACATTTTTTTTATTAATAAAAGGCAATATTAAAGATTTTATTTTATGCTAGTAAAATTACTTTATAGGATTAGGCTCCCAATTTTTTTTTCAAGCCTAGGAGAAATTTTCAGCTTCCCCTCCTCCTTGATAGCCCTGGGTTTGGATTTAACTTTGATATTTGAAAAACACAAATCTGTGATTACCTTGCAATTTTGCTATTTGTAATTCACATTGCGTTCACTGAAATAGCTGTAGATATTTTTAATGTTCAAATATAAAAACATTTCTATAAAATTTAACAAAATGAATAAAAGATACAATTCACTTCTGGCATTATAGCTGCTTTGAAATATAATAAATCTCTTTCAGGCGATATATTTTCCCCCCTCCTGTTCAGAATCAAGGTCAAAATATTCGAAAGGGGCATATACATTTTCCATTCATCAATCACTATTAATTCTGTACTGGTGTATAAAATGATGTATATTCTAGCGGTATTTACAATTATAAATATTAAAAAAACTAAACCAAATTATTTAAAAACAATTATTTTAAAAATTTGCTGATTACACAGCATTTTCACAATATTTCAGAAAGTTTATAAAGAGTAACATCACTGATTATTTAAGCACGTGTTTAAGATGAAATCGATGAATTTTTAAAAATTTAAAATTTGAATTGACTTACGTCAGATAGCAATCCACTTCTTTAACCCTAACATAACAGACGATATTCGTGGCACGCATGCGTACGTACACGTAATTCGGACATGGGGGAAAAGCATCCCACGTGACTGAGTTTATCATTAATGTGCGTCTTTTAGTAATTTTATTATTTTATTAAAATATATTTACGCATTAACTTCATAATTCGTATTGATTATGGATTTACATTCTTGATTTTTAACAAAAATGAAACAAAAAATTACAGCGGATGACGTTTAATTAATCCTTTTTACTGTAAATTTCCCTATGTTTAAAACAGGAATTTCCCTAAATTTGACAGCTTAAAGTGTAATTAATCTGTTTAAATGTAAAATATTATTAAGAATATTTACTTAAAAATATTATTTAATTTAAAGAAAGAAAGTGCTAAAATATTTTCAATTATTAAAAACATAGTTTATATAAACTTATAAATGAATCGTAAATAATTTTATTATTAGATATAAACTTTTAAAAGTGTAATAAATTTCCATAATTTTCTTTAAAAAAATTAAAATATATATGAAATTAATTGAAATTTGAATACATAAATTAAGAATGGGGAAAAACGACACTTTAGGGAATATTATCTAATAGTATCTATCTTATTTTACTAATAAGTAGAAGTGTTTTTGACAGGTAGAAGTGGCTACTAAATTAAGTATTAACGAAAAAGTGACGTCGATTTTGACGTGTGGAGGGGAGAGATCCTCAAAATCGTTCGGTGGTCGACTTATTTAATAACCACAACCCGGAAAGATCCCCAATTCCATAATAACCTATAAAGAAAAAGATCCCCAATAAATCAGGCAACGACGGGAAAAAAAACAGGATGCTGACTACAAAAAAATTACATATATTAATTTTTCAACATCCTTTTTTTATTTCGAATAATATATAAAAATCTGAATAATTAAATTCATACATTCATTAAACAATGTTACTTAATGAAACTATATAAACTTTTTAAAATACTATTAAAAGTGTTTTCATATTTTTCTATTATTTATTATTATTAAATAATTTAAATTACATTTATTTGTTTTCTTCGTATTAACAAACAGACAGCGTTATTTATTTCCCTTTAAAACATTAAGACAAAATTTTTAAATATAAAAAAATTTATAAATTAATTAATAAAATACCAAAGTAATTAATTTTTTTTCCTAATTTTTAAAATTGGTTAATTAAAATTAATGTAGAAATTTATTTTAATTTATATTAAAATTTTATATGTAATTATAATCTGTTATGTAATTAATTATAATTTTATTTCACAAATTGAGTTTTAAAAAATAACAAAAATAATTGCTTTTGTGAGAAAGACACAAGTGTGGAAATTTTCCCATAATTATCATCAAAATTGTGTTGTATCTTTGTTGAAGTTCTCTGCTTTATTAAAGAAAAACTTCCTATCAATTATAAAGAAGCTTACAAAACTTTAGACACAAAATATAGAATTGTATTTTAAAAAATTAAAATTTTAACATTAATATAATCAATAAATAATGATAAATAGGAGGGAGTTTAATAAATTGCCATTTCATTTTATTCAGCTTGTTGAATTCAATAGTGAACTTTTTTCTAAATTTTGACTTTAAAAATAGTTTAAAATTGTGCATAATAGCTGATTATATAAAATAGAATCTTTATTAATAACTAACATCAGATAAAAGTACTTAAACTGTATTTAGAAACTTGATATCAAAAACTTTAGAACCTTTTTTTTTGTTTTCATTTTCTATTTATAACATTAAAATGTATGAGAGGCAATTCTAATAACATCTGATGTAAACCAAAATTATAAATTTTCTATAATTAAAGTACAGAAAATGAGTCATTACATTTCGTTTCATTATTCTATCATAATGATTATATTTAATCATGCATTAAAATTAGTTACATTTGCATTATTTGATTTAATTCAAATGTATTGAAATTAAACCAAATACTAATTTAAACTGTAATAATATTTTTACATGCTAAAATTAAATATGGCAACTTGATATTAAATCTTTAAAAAACGTGCGTCATTGTTTATTATTTTTTCCTTTTTTACGGAAATATTTATAAAAATAATTAATTTTTTTAATAAATATTGTATTTGTTTTATAACTTATTTTCATTTTGAATCAGGATTTAAGCGACCAATCAGAATTTCGGTGGAGTAACTTTTGCTTCCGGTTGGTAGACCGACGAGGTTATGACCCCGAGGGACATACGTCACACCTACGATTTTCGACGGCAGCGACATCTCAGTCTGCTCGATACATATTGCCGTCTCCGATTGGCTGATCGTCGTCATGTGACCGCATCAATTTTACCATTGCCGGCATAGGTACTTTCCCGTCCGACTCCAATAAGCGAGTCTCCTATTGGTGGTCGGCTACAGACAAGGATATGGTGGATCCGTCCAGACTATGTCTCGGTTCAGTTGTTGTGACGAGCACGTGGATGAATCAGTGGTCGAAGGAGATGCAACAAAAATAATAACACCCGGTTTCGAACTTCTTACAACATGAGCCATGCTAGAGAATCGCCATTAGTAGGTCCTTGCCTCACCTGACACGATGCGGTCATCTGTGGTTGTCGACTCACCATTAATTATAATGTGCTGGTTAGTAATGTTCGCACTGTCTGTCTTAGAGGCATCAACGGAAGATAATGAAGGTGAGTCTATGTAAATTACATCATTAGTAATAACAGATTGTAAACAAATCAAGTTCTTTGGTTGTAAAACAAAGGCGCGCGTGCTCTCGGGTCACTTCGATTCGGTCTGCCATCGCTCCTCGACGTTGGGCTGCCGTGCAATGCTTTGTATATAAGAACCGTTTCTTAGAAGAGCTACCGTCACGTCGGCGCCCGATTGTGTTACGGATTACTACTACGACCTTGCATTTTTCTTACATCTGTACATGGCATAAACTACAGAGCGATTACTACTCGCTTATCGCTACCTTGAAACTAGAAAAAAGAATATAATGACATCATGAGGATGTAAATCGAATCCTACATCCAGCTGAGTGTTACCCATACAGTAAACTTATACAGTGTTTCACATATCGTTATATAAGTCAGAAGTATTTGAATAGTTTTCCAGAAATTCTTCCTCGGATCCATTTATTCATAACTTCAATTTTGTGTATGGTACTGCCGATTCGGACCCTTGAGGGATTTACTTATATGGAAGAAAAGTTACTGCCCAGAAAGGTTTTCGTTTTAAAGAAGTTTTAACATAAAATAAAAAGTATATATATATTTTTTTTCCAGTTTTTTTTATTCTATGTCCTTCTTTTTTTAAAAAAAATTTATAAAAATAAAAATATTCACTTTACAAAAGTGAATATTTTTGTATGCATTTTCAATACTTTTTTTCCATATTTACTTTGGAAGTTTACTAAAATCTTTATGCGAATTTTTTAGCTTTATACAACTTTTAAAATGTCAAACCGATGTATTATATGTTATATTTTTCCTTAGTTTATAAGTTTAAGATCTATAAAAGTTTATTATTAATTTAAATAGGTTTTTGTATAGCTTTAGGGTATTTTAAAGTATATTTTTAATGCATCTAAGTATATTTTTAAAAATACGGAAAAATTTTAAACCACTTCAACAATTTTAAACCAAAAATTCTAAACCACTACAGAAATTATTACAGGATTTATAGTAATGCCAGTAATTTAATAAAATTTTACTTAGGAAAAATCGTATGTATAAGTTTATTTTCTTCACATTTAGATGCATTTTAAAAATAAATTTTCTTAAAAATCCATTATTTCAATCAAAATAAACTCCTATCCTCTCTGACGAACAATATTTGAGCCTTCATGAAAGCTGAGCGCATTCTGATGAATCAAATAACATTTGTTTCTTCACGAAAGCCCTTCGATTTGTAAGCACTTCGACTAAATTGAAAAATAAAAATTGATCCAAAGATTACTAGACGTAAAATTATGATCCTCAGATCAATTATAATACCTTAAATATATAGAAGAATAGATTTTGCATCAACACAGAATTCTTCTTAAATTGAGGATCGTCAGCTTCCAAGAATATTTTTATTTCAATTAGAAATATATATAACATGTATATTAATTTCCAGACTTTTTGTTAAATAAATACTTTAGTGTGAAATAAGTCATATATTATAAAGAATTAAAAAAGTTCTATCTCGTATCCAATTTTGTTTGTACATTATTTCGTTGGTAGTAACGTCATTACTCTTTATCTCGCAATGGTTACGATAAATGGAAAATTCCGTCAGTTGAATCCGATTCCTATTATACAAAGTAGCAGAATGGTTTATATTGATTATCGTTTCGAGTTTGTAATATCTCTTACTTAATTTATCTAATTATTGCCGACTTGTATTAGTTGGACAATGTCGAAAACGAGATAAAGCACGGAAGTAATATCGGTCATCTGTAAGGCTTTTATCAAAATTCAGAAACATAACAGATGAAAACCAACAGACAGATGACATCTTAAAACAAAAGATCGATAGCTTTTCAACGCACTTCTAACAATACAGACATTGGCTCCACCGTACAACGTACTGTACACTAAACCAGCCTCGTCTTCGGTCTTCAATATACACCACCCTTTAAATGGGAGAAGCATCCCGTCTGTGCCATTAGTCTTTCTATCGCTAGGAAATGTTTTTCTGCCCGTCTAACCGTAAAATATTCTTCCTTATTTTCCCCTATCTCCGCTTCTAAGAGGGGTGGGTTGGCCCTTAGGTTTATTAACGTGTTCCCACTCCTCTCGACTTCCTACCAGCTAGATTACTTCGCCATTTTTATGTTAGAATTGCATAATTTCCCGTCCAGAATCAATAATTAAGCTTGATTTAGTGGTTTAAAAAAAATATATATCTTTAATTCGAAGAGCGTACGGTGGCGCCAATTATCCCCTACCGGCAACGGGAAGTGGTGTTGTTTTAATGGTATAAATGTAATTATCAAAAAGTTTGATCTTCTTTTTTCTTCCTCTATTCGTACACCATCGATTGTACATAAAAGTGGTAGGGTTTCACTTAAGCTTTCTCTTATTGATTATAGTATTCAGATAAAACTTTTATGGCCAGATAGATCGTTAAGACACATTCGAACTTGTCACTATACAAGATTTTTTTTTTTTCACTGGCTCGAAACTAAAAATTGACAAAAGAAAATAAATAAATCAGAAATCTTGAAATTTCGGAGCAAAAGTATCGAATAGTTTCTTCCTATGTTTTATTATTCAACATGCTGTAAAGTTCTCGCTACTTTATTGACTTACATTAATGGAACCTCGAGAATGTTTGAAGAAAATTCACTGTGGCTTTTTTTTTCTTTTTTAATTTTATTTTTATAAAAACACAAAACTTTAATTAAATAATCAAATATAATTCATATATTTTTAAAAATTATATTTATAACAGGTCATTCTTTTGTCTTGATTATTTTCCTGGTGATGTCGACTGTAAATACTCTTTATGATGTGTTTACTTACGTTTTAATGAGGTCAAATTTGACATAAATAACTACTCTGTAGTATTTAATAAATCTTATTTTTTTTATTTATCATCATGTTTTTTTAAAGTTCCTATTCATGTTTATGTTATATATTAGTTCCATCTGTTCGTTTTCCGAATGCAGTTACGGTCTCGAACCTTAATTTGATTTCTCTTCTCTTCATTCTCTGAAAATAATTGACGATAAGTAGCCATTTATAGCTACATCGACAAGGATTATAGTTTCTTATTTTTAATAATAAATAAATATCCAAATTTTTAAGAATGTAATTCGTTAATAAACACGCGATTTAATTAATTCAGAAATTTCATTGAATAATTAAGCTTTAAATGCTCGTAAGTTTGAACTAATTTAAGGAATTGAATAATTGTAATAAATTACAGTTTAATGTGGATAACTGAAATGAGATTTTCCATGGTTTAAATTAAAAATGGGCATGATTTATATGATTTAATTTATTTAAAAATTGAAGAGGTGCAGTGGTATAAAAAGATGTAAAAAAGTTAAGATGTGTAACTCCTTACATAAAATAGAAGTGTTGTATGACAGAAATGTCAAGGCTTTAACTGAAAGAATGCAGGATTTTCTTAAGAACCAGAGACAAATATGTCTACTTTTCTAAGCAGATTACTGCATAATCATTAACAGTTATGCCTCTTTTATGTGTAGTTAATTTATCAAACGACCAGCAAAATCCCTTTTTAAAATACCTTAGCTCATTCTGTGTTTGATAGGCAAGCCACAGCCGCTAACGTTACATTTCTCTTCTCTTTTTTTTTTTCTTAAAAAACGAAGAAGAAAAATGAATTACATAAAATTAAAGTGCACGAACCGTGTAAAACTGGAGTGCAAATCATGTAAACATTGATGAGACGCGTATAAAAATTTGCTCGAGGTCGAGACCTATAAAGAAAACCAAATCTGATATAATGGCTTTTTATTAAATAATTGAACAGCGTGTAAGAAATTATTCAGTGTCACCCCGAAAATTATTTGTAGAAGTGATGCAATAATGTAATAAGGTTATCAATTATTAAAATAATAGTGTAAGACTGTAATAGTGTAATTAAATATAGTGATAAATATAAATTTTTTATATAAGTTATAGAATTTTATGTCAAGATATTAAGCTAAAACAACAGCGATAAGTGTTCTTTATGTAACTAATACACAATCAATTACACAATACTTCCAGAAGCATCGGTTATTCTAGAAGCGAGTTGTAGAATTAATAAAACTAATGTTAGATTTTTTGTGTTAAAAAAAACTGGAAAATTCAATTTAGTTTTGAAAAAACTGAAGATGTTTCGTGCGTGATTTTACATACATATCATCCACTCGCCACGTATATAAGATTTGAAACGCGTTTTGGTTAGTAGCTATTCGCTTTTCACCACCAAAAAATTATAGTTATTGTTCTGTTGGAGGGAAAAGATTTTGAAGTCGATCGAAACTTTTCTGCATCGTTTGGCAAAAAAATTTTTTCCCTACTTTTTTTTTATATATTGTTACCCTTATCTCGTTGGATACTAGCCTATTCAAGAAGCTAATATGATATTTCTGAAAAAAACCTGCTTAAGTAGCTTATCACTATGAGAATAAACAAGGTTATTTTTACCAAATCCAATCCTTTGATAATTGGAAGAGTTTGGGAGCAGAAGTAAAGGGGGAAGAGAAAAAAAGTCTATAGAACCAAAAGAAAAATACCTATCTCATATCCAGTAGATATGGTTTATGCTATCTTTCAGGAAATTGCTAGTTTCTGTAGAAATTTCAACTCTCTTGTTCGAGTCGTTGGAAACTGATAACACAAACTTTGAAATCTCCATCGCTGTAGTATCAATAGAAAAATATTTTTAACTGTAACCGCATCCAAAACTGATAATGTCGACGTCAAGTCGATGGTTGGGGATTGGGTTAAATATACGTGCGAAAATGGCTATTAAACTTGGCTGCTTCCATTGATTAAATAATCTTTCAACGTCTACTGACGTTGCTTAACTTTTAATAAAGAAAACTAGACAGAAAAAACACGAAGTATATGAAATATTACATCGTTATCCCCATCAGATGTAACATAAGTTATATAAAAAAAGAGAGCATCGAATCAGCTTGTTAGTTTATACATAGATGAAAAAAGATAAACAAGATCTTTATTGATATCTTCAGCGCTTGTAAGATAACATTAGATAATTCTTTTAAGATAAAAAAATGCAGTGTTTATATATTATTTTACGAGATTATATTTTTTTAGAATAAGCTACGCGATGACAAAAGTTAGTAAATTTACCTGTCATCGAATCATTAAGATATAAAGTTACGTTCTGATACATTAATTTATCAAAACATAACCCCTGGTATATGAGCGTATCGTGAGAATTTCATCTCATTTTAGCCTTCTATAATGAGCAAGTTTAATTAACAATGTTATTATAAGTCTAACTGTTAACTGTAATTAATTCCCTTGGTAATCAGATAATGGTGCCTTTTGACAGAATTAGTTGAAATCGAATCATCAGATGGGATTGTTAGTCCCTTTGGATTTTTGCTTTTGTAATTTTTCGATTTATGAGATTAAATTTGTTTTAGTCGCTCTGTTTGTCGTGCTTATAAATTAATATAATAAGAAATCATTTTATAAATCTTTTTTTCTGAATTAAGAGGATGATTTTAAGTGAAGAACGAATTTTAAAATCGATTTTAAAAGTTAATCGCTTAAAAATCGTAAGAAAAATTGCTATAAATAAATGATAAATTGGTGGATTGTAAGTTTTTATACTCCACAATTCATTTCTAAAGAGAAAATTGTCATAATTTATTCCTTTTTTATTGTTTCTCGACAGCTTTCGTTCCAAAACTGCACATTGCTACATTGCTACAGGACATCCAAACTTTACTGTTTTAGATGCGCTTTTTTTTTATATTTTCCTGTCTTATATTTCATGTTTTATTAATAGGATCACCTTATATAACGTGTTTTTTTTTCTGTGGAAGGTCCAAATAAATGTCCTCTGCAAGTTTTATCGTTCTAACTCAGTACTTAGCTGCATATAACGAAATGGAGTTTCGTCAGAATAATGGAAGAAGTGGGTCGTTTTAAAATAGTCTTTGTATCATTTACTAGCACTCTATCCTAATTCACAAGAGTTTGATCTCAACAGAAAGCAAGAAAATCCAAACTGTCAAAGCAGCACAAATAAATCTTCTATCTGGAGATCCCATAATGTGAAAGTTTTTTGTTGTCAAAGAAGTGGAGAAGTAGAAACAGCCTTTCTGTTTTCGAAGTTTTTTTCTTTCTAACCCTTCTTAGAAAACTCCTGGTAACGATTGAATATATATATATATATATATATATTTATACATATAGAAAAGATATTGAAAAAAGTATATTTTTCACGTTACAGTCGCTGATAAATTTGAATCCTTGTTTTTGTTTTCTGTGAAGAAAAGTTTATATTAGATGAAACATAAAAATGTAGCCTATAGAATATGTGAAGAAAGGATATTGAAATCTTACATTTTCTATAGATTTTTACTCAAAAAAAATATATGAGGTAATGAAAGAAAATGTAGAAATCAACATAAAAAATGATATATGTCACATTTCTGTTAGCAATTGTATCAGAACAAACTTCTAACTCTCGTTACATGAAACATAAAATATGGAGTTTCTATTAATAGAAGGAAGCTCTCAAAGTATATTTTGTAACAATGATTCATTTAATGTAATTACAATTTGTATTACATGAAATATGAAGTAGATTTGTGCATTAAAGACGAAGAGTCCTGTTAAAGAACGGAAAGCTCTTATTTTTAAACTTAATTAATTACGTGTACAGTTTAAGGAGGGAGTGAAAAGTATATCATTGCATACGATGGGGGGTCGAAACATTGTCTACATGGACTCTTTGCATACGAATTTGTTCTTATGAGTTTACGTACTAGTCGTGTGGTTAAACTATCAGAAAATATTTGCAGAACATTTTAAAGCCATTTCTTCGATGTCAGGGGTATCCGTGAACTATTATACAATATGAAAGGGGAGGAAATCTGCCAAAAATACATCAATGTACACGACAGGGAGGGATGGGTCAAAATTTGCTCAAAAAGTGTAAAAGTAATAATTTGATGACCCCCTTATTATCGGTCTTAAAATAGTTCTTAAGTTTTATTAGATAAAATAAATGCAACAGGTAAGAAGCGTTTATATCTAATTTTAACAGAAATTTTCTGTTTGTTTAAGAAACTAGTGTCATATTTCAGTAAGCAATGTTTTTTATCCAAAATATCTTAATTATAATAACTATAACAGTAAATTCTGCAAGCTATGCTATGCTACACTGATACAGTTATCAAGAAATTTGTGTTATTTTCGATGTTCGATTCAAAAAGTTTGATTTTTTGCACGGAATAAAGTTATACAGTTATAAACAAAATAATTAAGATTCTGTTAATAGTTTTCATACTGCAAAAAAGTATAATTTATATACAGTAAAACCTATTTAAAACGGAACCTGAATAAAACGGAAACCTGCCTAAACGGGAAAAATTCTACGGAGTGTTTTTCTGTTTAAAAAGCTTGTTCAAAACGGAAACCTGCGAAACCGGAAAAAATTTTCGGTACCGTCCGATTCCGGTTTACGCAAGTTTTACTGTAATAATTACGAGATAGACCAGTGGTGCGTGCTTCATGGGGCCCAGGAGAATTTGAATTAGTGAATCCCGTATAGTGTTGACTTCAGATATTTTTTTCGGGGGAATTTTTTGGGGGAAATATTTTCTTATAAAAGATTAGTTTGAGGTCCCCTGTTGGTTGGGGGGCCCGAGCAATTGCCCCTCTTGCCCTTAGGATAACGCACCACTGAGATAGGCAGATAACAAACGAGAAACTTAACGATTAATTACACTTTTAAACTGCAACTTTCACTAAAATTCACGAAATACGTATAATTAACAAAGAGATTATCATCCGAATTAACGATTTGTATGCGTTAATCAATTTTAAAGTAAAAGAAAATTCGAATTACAGTAAACATAAAGCACACAGTTAAGTAAGGTGAACTCGAATGTAACACTTCTTCTAATGATTTGATGCAAAAATTTCCTTTTGTTGTATAGAAAATTTTAAAATAAAGTATCCATTTAAATCGTTCTCCATTCTGGTTTATTAATTTAAGAAATTTTTCAGTATTCATCTGCGAACAGATGGACTTTGTAATTATATAGGAAAGTATGACGTTTTCCACTTAATTAAACGCTCGACTGACTTTACGCATTCCTTCGAATTCGTTTTGAATTTAAAATGTTACAATCTTATTAACGAATTCTTTCATAGAATAAAGTTATCAAGCGTGAATTATATAAGTTATAACCATTTTCCATTCACTAAAATTTAAATTTTCACTATTTAAGTAACGTTTTGTGAATAAAATAATTAAAATTGCAATTTTTTTAAAATTCTATTTTTTAATAAATAAAAATAATAATAATAATAAAACTTTAGGTATGCTAAGACGAGAATTTTGAAAGTGATAAAGGATAGCAGGAAATTAATACAGTCTCTTATTGACTTTAGTGCTACCGAGTGGCAAACGTCCTATCATATATTCGGTATATAAACACTCTAGTAGTAGATGGTACCACTACGAATTTATTACTATCCAAGTCAAACATTTGCTTCGAGCCAAAACTTTGATTTATAAAGATTTTTTTTTTCTTGCGCCATCGCATCTAACCTTTAGCTACTTTAATTGTTAGTATTCCATAAATGCAATGTTTGTATATGAAAGTTTACTGTTTGTGTCATCCTGTCTTCACTTATTTGTGTAATTTCTTCAAACGTTTTCGGCTTACTCAATGTAGAAAGACAAATAAACTCTTGAAAATTATATGCTCCAGTTTATTAAATCACGAGTTTCGAGATAATTTATACTCTAAGTAAATTTTTCTTTTTCTAAATTAAGCTCGTTATCTTAAGGATAAAATTATTTTATAGTTAATCCTTGGACTTATAATATGTATTTAAATTCATTAATTTGTTGTAGAGAAGTTCCGAAAATAAATAATTTTTTAAACTTCTTAGATTGTGTGGATCTTTATGTAAAAAGTATTTTAAAAATGTTTTAATATATATAATTTAATTTAATTTAATTTTTTTTATTATCGTGTTTTATTCTTGATCTTAATTTATTCTGGTTCGATATTTTTAAATATAATTTAATCTGTTTTTTATTATTTTATTTTTACTTTTATTATTATTTTTTTCCTGCGCTCGTTCACGTTTGAGTCAAGTTCTCTTCTCTCTAAAATTATTTTTTAGTGTAGTTTAATTCATTTTTTATTTTTATTTTTATGAAATTTTAGTCCATTTTATTCATTTTCTTCCCCCATTTCTTTCTTCTCAACAACTCCACAATCTTTTTTAATTTATTACATTTTTTCCTATTTTGCTTCTCATTACTTTCTTTAGTTCTCATTCTTTTTTTTATTATTATTACGTTTGACATTTGCATTCATATCAGTTTATTAAAATTCAAAACATTTTTTTTTCTTTAAATGCAGATTACTTGTGATTTTTCTTACAGAAACGGTCATTTTGGAAGGACCATCCAATCAAACAGTCCTTATTGATAGCGCAGTGACATTTACATGTCGCACCAAAGGATTGCCTCCTACTCAGATTTTTTGGAAACGTAATGGTCGTAATTTGAAGTCTCACGGACAGGCAACTTATAGGACGATAGATGGTGGATCATTAGTTTTGGAGAATGTTGGACCAGCAGATGACGGTGATTATCAATGTGTAGTTGTTAGCAGTTCTGGAGAGATATATTCTCAAGTAGCCATCCTTACTATCGAAGGTAAGTGTGCTTTCTGACTAAAACTTCTCGGTATAACGCTAGTAACACCATTAATAACAATCGTTAATCACAGTGGGTCTAATTATTGTCAAAGTTGGCTTATTTTTTTTCTTACTTCGTCGTTTTAGAATTTTCTCAAAGTTTTAACTTAGTTCAAGCCTACACTTTGTGTCGAGTTACTTTCATATATCAGTTTGGTAGAGGTATGATTACTTGTCTACAGATTTCCAATATATCTAGTTGTCTTTTCTTCAAACTGTAGATTGTTGCTGCCGTTGGAATGAAAGATGGCAGCTGAAACTTTCTTTCTTATTTTCAGAGAATAAGACAAATTGGGATTTTTTTCCCCTCTTTTTGAAGTTTAGATAAATAGAAGTTTGGTGGGTCATTCCGAAAATGAATTGCTCTCGGACTACTCTAAGTAATGATTTACACTATACAGGTTATTTTTAAACTATTTTTTCCCCTCTCCTTTGATTAAAAAAAAAAAAAATGTATACTTCCCTCGGCTAAAACTTTTATTAAAAGTTTAATAAATCAGTTATAAATAAAATTTCATTTATAATCTTATTGGGTTGTTTTAAAATTTAATTTAAAATTTCGGTCGTTTTATTGGTTAGTTCGAATTTAAACAGCTAATACAGTTAACGCGTGAAATTATATGACCAATAAAACGGATATAGTATAATTACGTATTAAACACAATAACCAATAAAACACGATTATTAAAACTGATCAATAAAATGACTTTAATTTAAAATACGTGTAGAATACATTAACCAATAGAACACGATCGTTAAAATTGACTAATAAACTGGTTAAATTTACATTTGAAATTGACCAATAGATGCAACGTAGTTTAAACTAACCAATTAGCTTTTTTTTTTTTTTTGAAGAAATGAACCAATAAAACGATTAAAAAATTTATACTCAGACGGCTTAGAAGGTTTAAACTAGCCAATCAAGTGTAAAATATACAGTATTATTAGTTTCCTTATAGAAAAATTTGAGAATATTAAAAAGAAATAAATCGATGAATTGTTTTAATTCTTAAAAAAAAAATTCTTTCGTTGGAAAATTTAATGTTCCTAGTTAAATCCCCAAAAATCCATTTAAGATACAGAGCATACACTAATTTCATTCAAGATTAATCCGTGTGTTATTGGTTAAGGCATAAAGTCGAAGTAGAAAAGTGTCAAGAAACTCAATTTTCAAATGACAACCAAAGTAATTATCTCCCCACACTTCATGAATAATGCATAATGAGAACAATCTTAAATCAAACTATACACATTTTGATTTTGTAACGATTTTTGGGGAATTTCAAAATCGACCGTCAAACTTTTTTCCCTCTTTCACTTCCCCTTCTTCTTTTTAAGTAAGGCTACTTTGGCGATGTCATAACCGATAATGACGTTTACTTGGTACTAAACTGCTCTATAAAATAAAACTAAAATGGTGGAAGAACAGCGGTAAAGTTTGCTATTTTTTTTCTGTTTTGGATCATTCGTTTGTAAGTGGTAAAGATTCTATTATTTTACCCTTATCAGAGATAATTTAATTACTCTGGCTCGCCCTCTTAAATAAAGAAAATTTGTTTATTTTGAGTCAAATTTTGTAAATTGAAAGTTTGTCTAATTGGCTCACTCTGTGATGAACGGAGATACAGTAATTTGATTACTTTGCTTTACTTTAATCTTTAAGCTGTAAAATTGTGTTTACTGTAATTTATCAATATTTGAATCATAAAACGTAATTTATTCAATCTTTGAGTAGTAAAAAGTTTTTTATTTGACCCGCTCAAAGTTAGTTTGAATCAAAGATGTTCACTCACTTAGACAATTTTTGACTTTTAAGAAGGTCTTTACTGTTCTTGATCGTCTATTTTTATTTTTAGAATTAAAAATTAAATTATTTTATTCTCAAAACATTGCGAATATTTTATATTTTATATACTTCTCGAAAATAAAAGTTAGTTTAGTTCAATTTAGTAAATAAAAATATTCACTCTCTCCGACACTCTTCCACTTAATCTTTGCTATTTGGGTGGTTATTTTTATCTTAATAATCGAAATTTAATTATTTTATACCGAAAAATTTCTGAATATTTTAGCTTATTCAATTTTTATGTGATACAATTAATTTTGTCGGTTTTATAGTTTTGGAGCGTGTTTTAAGCTAAATGAATCACTCAAAATGATTCATGTCTGGATTAGCTCGATGGAGTAGAGATTTGAGTTTTTGAATGAATGATTCAACATATTTATTTTATATAACATATAATAATATTCAACTATTTATTTTCTACAAAGAGTCAATTTCGAGTGGCCAAAAAATTGCATGTTTTTATACCTTTCATTGCATAAAATTCCAATTTTTCACTTTCATATAACAAATGGATCTAGTATATATTTTATGGAAAGTAATATTTTAATAATTATGTATTTAATTCACTTATAATTAATCATGTGTATAACAAATTTATTCCCGAATTATAATAATGCATAGACTGTAATTAGCTTCGAAATCCATTTGTTATCGAGCCCACTTCCTGCGTTTATATTGATAGACTTAGTAATAATTACCAAACACTTTGCCACTTCATTAAGTTGGGATTAATGGATGAAAATCGGATTAATATCCAAGATGGTCGATCAGATTTATCAAAATTCTATTTTCAAGCTAATAATAATAATAATAATAATAACAATTTTTTAAAGATAATTAAAAAACATACCTCACTTTCTCTTTCACTACTTAGTGTAATGGTAAGAAAAACTGTAATGAATTTTTTTTCGTCGGTGGCATGGGGCTAATTGCCCAAAGTGTCACAAGTATCTGCTTTGGGAACACGTGATGTCGACAGTCGATACAATCTAATTACTTGTTTTAGCTAACTGTTACATCAGCAGCTGTGGGAATGAAGGCTTCATTCTGCTTCGTTAGACTAATTCATTTTCTAAGAATAAGAAACGTTACTTGTAAACTCGTGTAATTTTATCGATAAATATTTTAATTAATGCTCTAGCAAATATTGAAACTCGACTGTTAACTAAATTGCCCTCTGGACGGCTCTATATTCTTTATTTATGCAACGAGGTGCGCATTATACGTGGAGAGTAAATAACCTAACCCATTTCCACTGTTCAAATTTCGTACTTAGTTGCTCCAGAACAAATATCGAGTAGAATTTTCGATGATTGCGATGTTAAATTTAGCGTTTATTTGCCCATAACTATATTCTTTGCCATTTTAATCGCTTAAGTTTTGAACGAAACAAGAGGGATATCCATTCTGACATTCAATTTTTGGAGGATTTGGGGAAAATTATTGCTTCTATATCCTTGGCTTTACGGTTTAACGCTATATCGACACCTGAATTTCGTTTTAAACCAATATATTTTAATGCTTCCGGCTCATTTTGTAAAGGTGTTTAGATGTATTAAGAATTGTTAACATATATATGAAAAATAACAAAGTGTCGTAATAGTGGAATGAAAATCTACAGAATTCACTTCTAGTCCCGCAGGAGAAACACAAAGAAACAAGCAGTATTGTCTGTTAGGACAGGAAATATTTTTCATTCATCTTTCTTTACCGTTAATCTTAACGTTTGAATGAGCTCAGGATGCCATTCATTGTACGAACAATGCGCTGTTTCCACAGCGTTTTTAGGCTCGCAAACCATTATAAATCAAGCTTATGTAGATATCTGATTACCATTTAGGATACAGAACGTAGAAATCGAAAAAAAAAGAAAAAATATAAAAAAAATCTGTCACTAAGACCGGTCTGCAAACGTTTAAACGTGATATACTTACGACATTAGCCATTCTGTAATTTAGATATTTAATATGCCGTGCCTTACTAATCGGTTGGAATTCCGGTCACGTGACCGACCTTCCGTGACCGAAATCTTCTCGAATTTTTCATTCCAATATTTTTCATGCAAATGCATTTATTTTCCATTTTATTTACATCACGCATTCTACTTCAAACACGCGTGAATACGAAAGAAGAATTCATTTTTTTAGCACTTTTTACACTTCAACAAAATAGTTTACACGACAGAAATATATTTTATTCTTTAAATTAATTAATTTTATCGTTATTTTATTAATTTTTTTTTAAAGTTCCGGCCAAGATAAAGGGTGGAAGAAGCGTTTACAACGTAAGCTGGGGTTCGAATGTTACTCTAGAATGTGCAGCCACGGGGGAACCACCCCCATTGATAACTTGGTGGAAAGATGGAGAAGTGGTAAGCGTAATAAATTATATCTTAGAAAAAGGTAAAATTACCCACTAGAAGTGATATTATACAAATTGATTCGTGTAATGTTCGTGCCTTTGATTACACAGTAATTTTCCCCGTACTAAGTTATTTCAAGTATTACCGAAACTGTAATTACGAACCAGCTGTGCTTAAATGACCTTTTTTCCTCTTAGTTAAGTTTTAACAGAATCTCCAAGACAATTTGCATTTTGTATATATTTTTTAATTTTAATTTTTATTTTTAAATTGGTTAAATCCGTCACGTATTTCTATAATTTGCATATAATAACTGTTTATTGTCTCGTGTATATGCTTTTAAAACGAAATTTTATTATATTTATCTTCTGAAATCCTTTACAAACAATTGTTCTTTTATTTAAATAAATAAAACATTTTCGTGTGGAAGAATTAAAGTAAAAAAAATTATTCTAGAAACATTTAGATTTTTCTTCCTTCCCTTTTAAACTGTAATTTTATTTTATTTAAATTCTAACTTTTTTATTGTTACTAAAATAGCATTTTTGTTGCTTGAATAATAATGTTATTATTATTATTATTGCAAAATTAGGAAGTAATGTTAAAGTGCAGAAAGGAAAAAAATGAATTGTTGAGTTATTAATAAAAGAAAGGCAACAATTATTACTGTAAATAGCGTGCATTATAATTGTTATCACTTGAACGTAAACAAACAATTGAAGCAATGTTTGAACTTAATCAACAATAGAACAATAACAAAAAAAGGAAAGGTTGTTGCAACATAAAATTTGTTATTTTGCCAAAATTTTGTAACATTGTCTCTCTTCCGTAACACTCGAGAGCAATTTACGTTTTGTTTTTGTAAATTTGGCATATTTATTAAATTATTTAAGTAAATTTTCCTAGTTATTGTTGATAAATGACGTTAGTTATGCAACGATTAAGATATAGACTATATTTGCTCAATTAGTGCAACAACTAGTTGCTATTTACAGCGAAAACGTTGTTAAAATCGTTTTGTTTTATAAAATACTGTGGATAAAATTCTCTACTTTCTATTTATTTATACACTCCACGTTTAATAACGTAATTGTCGGTTCTCTAAATCTTCTCTATACTTTACTGCTCATAATTTTCTATTTAAATACAAGAACATAAATCATGAAAAAATTATAGAAAAGAAAATAATTTATTTTATTGCTACAAATAAAATAAGTGAGCAAAAATTATCATTTAAAAAATAAAATGGTTGATCAATAATACAGTAAAACCTGTACCAAACCGGAAAAAATATTCGGTACCGTGCGAGTCCGGTTTACATAGGTCTTACTGTACATTAATGTAATAGGCAATATTTATAAATAACTCAATACAAAATGGCTTATACTAAATTTCTTAAAGATAAAATTTATTACTTCACTATACATTTTTATATAGTAAAACTTGTTTAAAACGGAAATGTACCGAGTGATTCCAGTTTAAACAGGCTCTACTGTACACCAATTTTACTAAATTAGTCAAAAATGTTTATAATTGAATTCAAAGATAAAGCAATTCTCTTAGATTTTTTTTTTAATTTGAATGAATGTAATAACAATTTTAATGTTTGAAAATTCTTTTTTTTCAGATGGAAGATAAGGAAGTCACCAAATTTCATTCCGTTCTTATTATTAACGCTACAACAACATCAGTTTTTACATGTAGAGCAACAAACTACTTAAGCAGTATCAATAATACAGCGCAGGATAGTAAAGATTTTCACGTCTCCGTCTTGCCAGTTGCTGGTAAATAATGATTATAATTTAATTTTAAAAAACAAAATTACATTACATTCTAACGTAATTAAATCCGTTAGAAAACATCGAAAGAGTCGAACCAAACAGCGACAATCGTAGAAATCACCAGAAAGAAAAAGTAGAACCAGAAGGTTACTGCGCTCCGTATTCGGGTACAGTCTGCAGGAAGTATCTGTCCGGAAATCGCATGGTTTACTATAATTTTACAGGGGATGCCTCTGTTACGCCAATGAACGAAGAGATAACTGCCGCATTATCTGCCGAATTAATATCTTCTTTGTTAGAACCTTGTCGCACACCAGCAGAGAAAATGATGTGTTTGTACGCTTTTCCTTCCTGTAGCTGGATAGAAGGCTTAGCTATAAGCAAACCAATTTGTAGGTAAGTGAAAAATACCTCATTTTTACTTTTCTAAAACTTCAAAAAACAGACAATTTAATGAGGGATTTTTGTAGGACGTGTGTAGAACGGAATGCTTATTTTGTGATGTGCTTTGCTGTAACTCTTGTAATCTGTTAGTTGGCAGAAACAGATTGACGTGCACTTTAATTGACAAAAATTCTGTCTGAAAAGTCAATAGATGTCAAAAGTTGACAACTAGAAGGGATAAATTTTTATCTAGAAAGTAACAGTAATTGGTACTAAGATTTTTACATTTTTTTTCCTTCTTTCTTTCAGGGAAGATTGCATTGCAGTGCGTGAGCTTTTCTGTTATAACGAATGGGCTCTTATAGAGGATAATAAGCAGAGAGGGATATTTTTCAAGTCACGTGGACATTTTCGATTGCCCGATTGCAATGTGTTGCCGTACAGAGGAATGTCTTCTAATCCTAATTGTTCTCCTGCATTTCTAACTGAAATGAAGGATGATGAGATTACAGGTAACCTCTTTTTTTTCCTAGACAAATTCTCTAGTTCATCAGGTTATCGAACGAAAACTCCATTAAAAATCTGTTAAGAGCTATTTGTAATTAATTAAAATTAAGATTTTTTAGTGATATTTTAATGCATCTAAAGCTTGAAAAAGTTTAGAAGGGTGGAGATGCATAAAAAGTCACTTTAACATGAAGAATAGTCGGATCGATAGCACGTTGGAATTTTTATCTCATAAAGACATGACTCTGTATCGTCAAAAAAGTTTTCTTTACAAAATACTCGTACAACAGGCTCCATTAAAGAAGCCAAACATGTCTTACTTTTGTTAAGTTTCTTTCAAGAACAACAGATTTGTCATTCTGTTCGTCTTGTTCCATTGGACGTGCTATTTGTTTCCTTGGATCCTCGTTGTTATTCTACACTTTTCGCTGCGATAACGAAAAAGTTTGATTAAAGGAGAAGGTTTTTTTTTTTTTTTTACTTTTCCAGCATAAACTTTCATGTTCCTTTCCTTTAAGATACTTAAAAAATATTATTTTTCTCTAGTGGATTGCATCAGAGGTCGAGGGCGATATTACCAAGGTACTGTTAATCAAACAAAATCCGGTATACCCTGTCAACGTTGGGATTCCCAGGTAAGTTTTGTGTATTTATAATAAGATTTTCTGTCCATTTAATGTGTTAAAACTTGGAAAAATGGAAGAGATAATTTTTCATCCCATTTTTATTACTGAAGTTTCACTTAATGCTCCTACTAGTAACGATCACTTACTTGTAGCGATTAAAAAGAATTAAAGAGCCGTATAACAAGATTATTTGTCGAGCTTTCTAGTAATTAATATCTTAATGTTGTTATAAGATAATTTTACAGTATTCTAAAGGTTAATGCTTTCTCATACAGAAGCTTTAGATGGAGGTTGTAAAAAGTATTTTTAAAACATTTTTAGGAACCGCATCACCATAACCGACCACCAAAAGTTTTCCCTGAAGTATTAAATTCGGAAAATTATTGCCGAAATGCCGGAGGGGAAGAACCACTTCCTTGGTGTTACACTTTAGATCCACAAATTCGTTGGCAGCATTGCGATATACCCAGATGTGGTAAGTAATCGATAACATAGCTTCTTTGGTTGTCTGGTAACTTTAAAATAGTAAATTTGCTGAGTTTGTAAATGTAATCATGTTGCAGAGAACAACAGCGACGTGACCGATTTCGAATCAGATATGTTTGACATATTCGAGCCTCCCACAGATCCACTTTTTACGCCTACCTTCATTCTGATTGTGTGCTCCTTCGTACTGGCAGCTGCAGTAGTTTTGATCGTTGGAATCCTTGTTTGCAGGCATCTTAAAAGGCATCATTGCGGGTACAGCACCACAACGCAGGATGTCGAAATTGATCTGGATAAATTACCATCGAACATGGCTTACCATCGCACCACGGCTCAACTTAATCCCAAGTTAGAAGCGCTGGAGTATCAGAGAAATAATATCATTTACATTCGAGATATTGGGCAAGGAGCATTCGGTAGGGTATTTCAAGCAAAAGCTCCAGGTTTGATTAAAGAAGAGGAATTCACTATGGTGGCCGTTAAGATGTTGAAAGAGGAAGCTACTGAAGATCTTCAAAGCGATTTCGAAAGGGAAGCTTGCCTGATGGCCGAATTTGATCATCCCAACATAGTCAAGCTGTTAGGGGTATGTGCTGTGGGTAAACCCATGTGTTTGCTATTCGAATATATGGGGAAAGGAGATCTGAACGAGTTCCTCAGATCCTGTTCGCCCACTAATTACATAGTTCGGACGGGAAACGGTGATGTCTACAGTGACGTCAGACTGACTCATCTCGATTTAATCAATTTAGCAAGGCAAATAGCCGCAGGCATGGTTTATCTTTCTGAAAGGAAATTCGTTCATCGTGACTTAGCCACGAGAAATTGCCTCATCAACGACGATATGGTTGTCAAAATTGCAGACTTTGGCCTCTCTCAGAAGATCTACACGGCTAATTATTATAAAGGTAACGAGCACGATGCTATACCCATAAGGTGGATGCCTCTAGAATCGATACTCTATAGCAAATTTACTGTCGAGTCGGACGTGTGGGCGTTTGGAGTGGTGCTTTGGGAGATATTTTCTTTTGCCCTCCAACCTTATTACGGTATGACACACGAAGAGGTTGTCAAGTACATACAGAATAATAACGTTCTAACGTGCCCCGACGGATGTCCAGCGAACATATATCATTTGATGAAAACGTGTTGGCACAAGAAATCGTCAAACAGACCAAGTTTCAAGTCAATTTATAAAAGTTTAGGTTCCATACACGACGATCTGGCCAAACAGCAGGTTAAAAATAGAAGGACTCACGTATGAACACAGCTAACATAGTTAAGGGACCACAATCACAGTGTACAGTGTACAGATTATATATAATCTGATATCGAACATATGTGTGGACTAGTCAACTAAAAAAAATCCCAAAGAACAATTCAGTATTTACACTTTATGGTGCAGATATCAATGCTAAAATTCCATACCACACTACGTATCTTGGTGCTTTCGGAGTAATTTGTGGATTTTTTACACGTGATTAATAATCAATTTTTCTCGGATGTTTGTTTTGTATGGAGAGAAAAAAAATAAGTCAAAAAACAAGAATTTTTTTGATGTAAACTATGCAACAAAAAATGCAGAGAATGGATATATAACCGTTCTATACTTTTATGGACGGATAAACTCGTACAAGAGATGATACTTCACTTTTCCTATATATAAAAGTCCAGGAAACATCGTTATTCTTCAAGATTTATGGAAGTATCCTTTTTAAATTTCGATCTTTATCCCGTATTCCGATCTTAGTGAAAAGAAATCATATCTTTGAAACGTACAGACACTCGAAACAGTCTTTTTATTCAATTCTGAATAAGAAAAAAATGATCCTTTTTAAAGATTCTTTTAGAATTTATATATATATATATATACTTTATAAGATCAACCAGGTTTGAGTTATGTTGTTCTTCAGTGGTTGTGTAAAACTGTCTATTAAAGGCATTTGTCTTGAAAATAAATTTTGTACACTAAAATTACATTGTAGTACTGAGTAACATAGAAAATTTTTTAAAAAATACAGTAGAGCGTCGATTATCCGAATCAATTGGAGACTGGGGTTCGGGGGGAAATCGATATTTCGGATAACAGATTATGCACGAAAAAATATATTAATTTATCCCATGTTGAAATTTCTCTCTGTTGCGTGTCGCTTTGCGTTGAATTTTCGTCGATTTTAAGCCTAACGAAGACTATTGTATCGTTAAAAATTATTTTTTATTTTGTACAAACAAAATAAATAATTGAAAAATATAAAAACAATAAAAAATTATACTTCAGAAGTTAATTTAGTATCAAAAACGTAAAATATTTCAGTAGCCGAAGACATAACCAAAGATTTCAGCGCCACAGCACTGGCGAAAATTTAAATTTGCCGACTGGAATTCTTTCGGATAATTGACGCTCTACTGTATTCAAATTTTCAGTGACTTTCAAGAGATATTCTGCCATTAGGTCCATTAAACTCTGTAATCTCATAACAATTGTAGAGCCTGCAAGAATACATTAACTTGGTTTCTTTTGAACTTCTAAACACATATGGCAGATATGATTTTCAGACTCATGACCCATAATTTCTCATAGCCTGACCTATCAACCTCTAAATTAATCACCTGTCACCTATAATTAATTACCTGTCTTAAATACAGGAAAAATTCAAAACTTTAGAGTAATTTTTCCTAGAAAATTGGAAAAATGAGTTAATGTGTTCTCATCCCAAAATCTTCAGTTGTATACTGGTGTACAGCACAGCAGTATACAACTGTTTTCATGCTATATTATTATTAAATAAGCATTATTTAATTCTAATATGCAATATCTTTCATCTATAATATAAAATATTAATAAGAGAAAGAGATACCTTTTCTTATAGAAGATTAATATAGAAAATAATGTAATCTAGATAAGATTTGAGATCAATTTTGACCCATATTTAGGCTAAAATTTAGGAAATTTCTCTAGATTTTATTGCCATCAAGTATTTTTTCCTCTATCAGGATCTTATCTTAAAATGAAACTACAAAATGAGGTTTAAATGTTATTGATTACTGTCAGTTAATCAATACTGATCCATTTACAGTTAAATTAAGATATTTTCCAAGTTTACTAACACACACTGATACTGATATTTTTTAATTTTATAATTGACTCATATTGTAATTATTAAAGCTTATAAAGGAATAAAACAGACAAAATTACATTATATGAATGTAATTTAAGTAAAAAATAAACGGTTTTTTCCCCAGAAATTCGATACATATGCACACCATTAATTGAGAAAAATCAATAATTTATTTAAATTAACTCCATTTTTTGTAAGCCTAATAAAGGGTGCATAATATGGATTTTATCTTGAGTGTTTCCTGCTTCTCTATTTGATTTCAATCACATTTTCTACAGAATTTTTTTGTCTAGTTTCGAATTATTTTAAAGTAATTTTTATTGATTTTAAGCTTTGTTTTCATAGTATTATCTAGTAAATAAATGGGTGCATTTATAAAGGATTATCACAAATCTCTAAGTTGCTCTTCCTGCACATCTTTCGTCTCATAATTTCACTTGCAAAGATTGAAATTAGAATTAAATTCTCCACACTTAAGTAAAGGGAATTAGGAAAGGACTAGGCAGAAATTTGATAATTTTCTAGTTTTTTTAGCATTCTTATAAAGGATGAGAAAGATGTAAATTCCAAATTTGTAATTTTTATGACTTTTTTTACAATAAAAAAATTTAAATATTAAAGAAATTAAATTAAAAAGTGAAAAAGTTCAAAAATTGCTAAATTTGCATTAAATAAGTTTTATAAATTCTTATTATTTGGATTTTGACCTGCGCGTTTTTTATCTCTACTTCTCTTCCTTTTTCTTCTGACTTCTTAACAACGTCTTTTTTGTTAAATGGAACAAAAATTTAGTTCTTTCTAGATTTTGGTACTTCAAATAAGAGCTTTTCTAACACGATCGTGCTGAAGTTTATAAGCGAACTTTTTAATTTTGTTTAAATAAAAAACAAAAAAAAACTTTTTTCCTCTTCATTTTTTCTTTTTTCGCATCCTTCCTTTTTCCTTCTTTTCCTCTCTCTTCTCATTTTTGTTATTATTTGCTTCCATTTCTTCCTCATCTCTTTTCGCTTTCCCCCTCTCCCTCTCTCCTCCTTTTCTTCCTCTTTCTTCTCGTCTTCCTTCTCCTCTTCCTCTTCCTTTCTTCTTCTTCGCTTGTTCTTTTTACGTTTTTTTTCCTTTTCCTCTTCTCTGTTCACCTTCATCTTCTCCATCTCTTCCTTTTTCCTCTCCCTTTTTCTTTCTCTTACTTCTTCTTTTTTTCCTTTTTTGATCATCAAGAAAGATTGTTTCTTTCAGGGATCTTAATCTTACCATTTTTATGGTTTATGCAAATTTATCCCTTTCGTAAAATTCTGAATGAGATGTTTTGTTTAACGAAACTCTGCAGACTCGATTTTTATAGACGATCTGGGTAATAGCCACTTGATTACTAAATTTATGTTTTGATATTCTTTTTTTAAAGGTAAACAAATTTTTTTAATCAAAGAAGTTATTAAGTTCTCTAGAGATAAATAAAATAATAAATTTCACGTTTTTTAAATAGGTTAACATTTTTCTGTGCAATGTATATATATTTTTCGTGTCCATAACGATAAAAATTGCTGTTTTTTAGTTAATTTGTTGCTTGGTTTTATAACGTTTACAGCATAAAATTTTTGTATACTTTATTAAATTTTCGAATAAATTAAGCATGTTTATTATTTTTTTATGCAATTAATCTATATAACCTTGTCAGAGCTTTTATTTCTGCGAAGTAAGGCAATTTACACGATGTACAGTACTATAAGCGTTGATGTAACTTTTGCAAGTAAAATTAGTAAAAAAAATGACCAGTAACGCATCGTAAACTGTACATTTTACGTGTGCATTATTTTATAATATAAAATATTCGAAAATTATACGTATTATAACGTTATAGACAATACATGGTGGCCCAAAAGTCTGTTAACTAGCTTTAAAAGTTGTTGTAGTTTATATTATTCCTAATGTTCAATAAACGATTTTAATAGCGTTCTCTGGTTAACTGAGTTACGGGCCACGCTATATGTGCATTCATTGATTTTTGGCTGTTATAATATTAGATTTATGTAGAGGGTATTTATCTTAATGAAAATTTAATAAGAAAAGTATTAAATAAATTGTTTTATTTAAATAATAATAATTTCTCTCGTAAAGAAACTTATAAAAGCTCTACTTGAAGCACCAAACTGTAGGAAAATTTACTAAAGTTTTGTTTCAACTAACAAAATATTTTTGGAAGCAAAATTGAACATTTTAACATAAATTTGAGTAAATATAAATATAAAAACTAAATAAAAACTAAAGAAAAATTTAGTCGAAACATTCCATCATATTGAAAATGCATACAAACTTAACGAACTTTCAAAAGACTAATCCGTTTCTTGTATCTTAACAAAAGGTTCGAGTACTATTTTCCATTCTCTGAATTAAAAACAATGAATTTCCTTGATTTTGTAGTCATAAATCTTAAGTAGAAAGATTTTTGAGGAAGTTAACAGTTGATTTAGTATCGTTTCGAATCTATCTAGTACGTAACACTGCGGTTGGGGAAATCGATCATTCTACAAATTTATTGACTAAACAAATAGTACTGAAAACTCTAGAAGGGAAGAACAAGTTGTTCAGTTTTTGTTTTACTAAAAATAATCAACAAAATCTGTTTTGTAAAGCAGATTTTGATACTTTATTCAGCAACTTTTCAGCATCTTCTTGAAGATGCTGAAGAGTTGCTGGATAAAGTATCAAAATCCATGCACTCGACTTCCAATTAAATTTATTAAACTATATCTCAAATATAATATGCTATGCTATATATGCTAAACTAGAAGATATCTTCTAGTTTAGCATATTTTCCCCTTAATTTATCGAATGTTTTTAATGTTTTCTATTTTATATACTCATATTTTATGTAAATATTCAAATAGTTTCATAACGCATCAGCTCCAGTCTACCCTTACTAAGGCAGTTGACGTTAAACAATCTTAAAATATCACGATATATCATGCAAAACAGTGATGCATCATGGAAAAAGTTGTTAAATTTCTTACATTTTTTTAAAGATTTCAACAGCTTTGCTTCGCACGAATGCTTCAAGTCGTGAGACTGTTTCACTTGCAGGCTGCTGCATAATCATTTTACACAGCAGTTTTTTGCAGTATCTTAGCTAATTAATTGAAACATTTAATATCAACAGCATTAAATTACATCTGTGGCATGTTTTTTTTTTCTAAATTAAATTAAACAAATTTCTTATAAATTTACTTCCAAAACAACAAAGTTAGGTCTTCCTAGGCTGAAGGACTCTATAAAGAAGAACTCTATTGAAATAAATATCACTTGGTCCGATTGACTTATGTTATTGCAGTTTAACTACCACACAACGATTTTACTACTGTGGCAGCTTCTACAGAAGTGCAATTATACAGGCTACAGGAAGCTTACAGTTGTTACACGCCATTAATAAAAGTAAGATAGTAACGTTATAATTGCATTAGTACAATTTATAGACGAAATTTCATTAATCCGATAGCGTATTATTACTACAACTGCACGCAAT